CATGACAGCCGTTGTCCATGCTGGCAAATAATAATGGCCATTCGAGGTGAATTATGTAAATAATTTTAAAAGCACGGCCATTTAAAACCCGAGGGTCTACCATGTGCATAGTAAAGCGATCACTGCAGACAATCCTTTTGGGTGGGAATTAATGTAAACACAGATATCGGATACCAGTCGTGTCAAAAGTGAATGTAAATAGACGTGCCAAAAAATCGGATATGGTCAAAAGATCGGATCTGTGCATTAAGACTTGCAGTGTAAACGCAGCATTATTCTCTCCTCGCTGTTTTAGTTACACACCTCTTCCTACCCGTAGATTTAAAAAGGGGGCGCATAACACAGCTAACAGAGTTATGCTGTGAAGACATAACCGGACCGGACCACATTCGTCACAGCGATGTACAAAAGTACGTCAGTTGCTCCTCTAAAGTTACAGAGATCCAAGGTGATGAAAAAAGTACAGCCATGGCTTCAGGGGCCCATTCGTGCCATTAGACAAGAGTGTAGGCATGCAAATTTTCAGAGAAATTTTCAGAGAATGTCTTAAACGGTATCAGAGTACTGCTAAGGAAGCTCAGAGGAAATACATGTCGGATATAATTGCACAAAATGCATATAGGCCGAAGATACTTTTTAATACAATTAATGTCTTTTTAAATCCTCCTCCTAGTGCCTCATTAGAATTCTCCACTGATTTGTGTGAACAGTTTTAAAAACATTTTATCCATAAAGTCGAGTGTATCAGGTCTAACATACCTTCTCAAAATTATTTTCCTCTAGAAATGTCTTCTCATCAGAGCTCCCTATCTCTTTTCCGACCTGTGTCACCTTCACAGCTTTATGATATTGTTCTTAGTATGAAGCCCTCATTTTGTCACTCTGATGTTCTGCCTTCTCAGATTTTTAAAGAGGCTTTTACAGCCTTAAGTCAAGTCGTTACTGCTATTATCAATAGCTCCTTAACAAATGGAATTGTACCAGCTTCTTTTAAACATGCTATAGTCCAACCACTGTTAAAAAAGTATAATCTTGATCAGCATGACCTAAATAACTATAGACCCATTTCTAAATTATCTTTCATCTCAAAGGTTTTGGAAAAAGTTGTTTATTCTCAGATCTCATCTTAATTAAGTACTTTTTACTAAGTACTAATATTTTTTGACACATTTCAGTCTGGGTTTAGATAATTTCATAATACTGAATATGCCCTCTTGAAGGTTACTAATGATATTTTACTTTCCCTTGACTCTGGTTCTTGCTGTATCTAAGGGTGTTTTCACATATAGTTCGTTTTAAAAAAAAAAAGAGAACCCAGTTCTTTTTTTGGTCCTCTTCAGCAATGAAGAGATCTCAGACCCTTTCTTGTTCACACCACAACTTTATAAGAACCCAGACCCCAGCTTTCTGTGCAGCAGTGGATTTTGGGTATTCAAGATGGCGTCTTCACATGTTGTCATCACATGGACGTGGCACATTTTGAAGCAAATGACAAACAGAGAACGAGTCAGACAAAGCAGAACTAAAGAAAAGCATCTGAAAAAACGGAAGAGGAAAAGAATAGCAACTAAAAAGAAAATTTTTCGGTAACACTTTCTATGAAGCCCGTATTTATAATACATTATAAGGGTATTCTTAAGGCATTATAATGAATGCATAATGCATTATAAAAAACCTTATAATATGTTGTATCATCTCATGAATATTCATAAGAACAGTTTTAATATATTATAATATTTACTTATTTGTGGTTATAGCTTTTAAGAGTATGATGATTTATATGATAAGAGTATTATACTATATAAGAGTATGATGCAGTAAGCTTAGACCATGCCTGGAGCGACATCGAACTTGCTACAGAGTTCCCCTCACTGTGGAACAAAGAGTTGCAGTTACGCTTTAGAGGCTTGCTACAAATATTGAATATCGATCCATTTCACACTTGTTTGGTATCGGCCTCTCAACAGCATGTATCGTGATGCAGCCAGTAGGTGTTAGAAACCTTGGTGTTGTCTTTGATCCTACATTGTCTTTTGATAAGCAGATCAGTGCTGTTGTGAAAAGCAGTTTCTTTCAATTAAGATCAATTTCTAGAATCAAGAGGATGCTTTCCATGAAGGACCTTCAAACAGTAATTCATGCGTTTATAACTTCAAGGTTGGATTACTGCAACTCACTTTATCTGGGTTTGCCTAAATCTTCCCTGCACTGATTGCAATTGGTGCAAAATGCGGCAGCCAGATTATTGACTGGCACTAGAAAACGTGAGCACATTACCCCAGCCTCTCTACACTGGCTCCCGGTCAAGTTCTGTGTTGATTTTAAGATTTTGCTCTTTGTAATTAAAGCTCTACATGGTTGTGCTCCCCAGTATATTTGTAATCTTCTCATTCCGCATTCCACCTCTAGATCTCTTCGGTCATCTAGCCAATTTCTCCTCTCAGTCCCTCGTTCACATTTTAAAACTAAAGGCGACCAGGCTTTTGCTGTGGCAGCTACTAGGCAGCTTCCCCTCCACATAAGATCTTCCCCTTCTATTTCTTTGTTTAAATCCTCTTTGAAAACCTATTTTTATTCTGTATGTTTTAATTCTGTTTGAGGGTGTAAAATTTTATTTGTCCCTGTCTGTCTTGATTGGGTATGTTTTTACTTTGTGTTATATTTCTTGTACAGCACTTTGGATGCAACTCCTGTTGTTTTTAAATGTGCTTTATAAATAAATAAACGAAACTAAACAAAATAACAAATAACGTTGTTACTTTGTGATCCCAAATTCGTCATGGTAACATTACAGTAGTATGTCACTGGAAAATGGTGAGTACGTCTCAATGACCAATCTGGCACAACGTGCCAAATAAATTAAAAACAATGTAACTTTGTGATTCCAAATTCTTTGTGGTGACATTACAGTGCTTAAAAATACATTGCTTAAAAATAGCGAATACATCCTAATGACCAAAATACCACTTCATTATGTAATAACTACTTTTCACCTTTAGTCTGAGGCATGGAGATGTAATCCAACCATTAACTTGAAATACATATACAACTGATAAACTCCCACTGTTCCACCGCTGAGGTTGGACTCAGAGGAAATGGATTTATATGAGGACTCTTCTTCTCCCGTCTTGTTCTAAACTCTCTACCTGTCCTGTTACGGCCAAGGAGGCAGTTTATGAACTGTATGTCTGTCCCGTCACGACCATGGAGGTCATTCCCCTGTCAGTTGCGCTTCCTGTAATGGGAGTTGCCATTTGGTGTGTTTGGGTCGTACACACCATCGCAGCTCCTCCCGAGGCGGCTGTGTCCGATGCAGAATCTCCAGAGATGGAGAATCTTCTGCTTCAGAACCTCCCGAGGCGGCGGTATCCGCTTCAGCTCCTCTAAAGGCGACAGTACCCAGTTATGAACCAGTTATGAAGTTATTCGCCTCGTCCCTTCAGCTCCGTTGTCTCCTTCCTCCCTCCAGCTCTGCCTTGGTCCTCTGTTGCTTTAGCTTCACCTCATTCCTCCTGCTCCAAGTCCCTCCTGTCTTCTCCCTGGCTCCTCCCACTGTCTTTGCCGCCCTGGTTCCTCCTGTCTCTGTCCTGGCTCCTCTCTGATCCGCCGTGGTTCAATGCAATTCAATTCAGGTTTATGATGATCATATTTTCTTGACCTGGTAAGGACTCTAGCCGCTGCATTTCCTTACCTGCGGTTCCTCCTGATTCCTCCTTGGCTCCTCCCTCCCTTGTCATTGTGTTCATTTCTTCATTAGTCCCCTTATTAGTTAATCACTGGCACCTGTGTTCTGTTCATTACCCTCTTTGTATAAGGTCCCTCTTTAGTTCAGTCCCTCGTCAGCTATTGATGTTTGTTTCATCCTTGCTTGTGTCTGGATTACCTGTTCTTCTTTGGATTTTGGATTAAAAACCTGTTTGGATTATCTTCGTCATGTGCCTTGTATTGCCCACACACAAGCGTGACACTCTGGCTAACAACGAATCTTAGAGGTGAAATTATCTTGTTAACAAACCTTTGCAAATTATGCAAATAAATGCATTTTTGATTGGTGATCGTTCTTCATCTGTGAAAGATAGAATAAACCGTCTGCGTGCCAAAGTGATCTCTGTTAATCCTCTGATAACCTGTGCAACCTCTGGCAGTTCTTTGGATGCCAACACCACCTTTTAAATTCTTTCTAAAACCTCTGGTAGCTGGCTGTCCTCATCCTGTTGGCTGAGGAAAGAAATTACAATGAGAATAACATGTTTTTCATATTTTTAAGCCTGTTACATGTCAGTAACTAACATGCTCAAAATATCAGCTATTTTACCTTAATCTTCTCCTTTTGGATCTCATCTCCAAGAACTGTTGTTCTGGCACAGCAAAAACCTTCCTAGAATTTTACTTCCAGTACGTTGACCCTGGGGAAATCATTCATATTTGAAAAGATTTCATTAATAAGTCAAGATGCAACAAGTTAATTTTATAATAGAAGAACAAGACTACTACAATTGAGACACCAAAACAAGTTCCAATTTGCTTTTTGCCCTCTATCAAGGATAAGTCATAATCAGAACCTGATTAAATTTTTCTGTAACTAATTGAGGGTCAGAAAATGTCAAGCAGTTTTTACGTGTATAGTATTTTTATGAGAATTAATTGCATTATTTCACAATTTTTTAAAAATCATCTTTATACTGTTTAGGTGTATAGAACTAATACTTTTTAATTTGAATCAACCGGTATTACATTACTCTGACCTTACTGGAGTTTTCATTAATGTGTTATTCTTAGATTTTTTTGAAATAGTTTGTAGTCAATCGCTCATCTTATGCAATTACCTTTTGCTCCTTCTGTATCAAGGATTTCATTCCCCTGGCCATCAGTCAGTATCATACCATCTTCTGCAACAGCATCTTGGACTTTTGCCAAGATGCCAGGAACTGATGCCTCATGTTCATGAAAACGGATCGCCACAGTCTTCTGGGGTGTCCATTTTCCACCCACCAGATCAGCAAGAAAAACATTCCTAAACACGAAAAGATGTCTCCTTTAACTCATTTCCAAAGACCATCCTATGTTCCTATAGTTTGGGGAAAATGCGATGTAAAGTCACAAAAAGTATATTTCTAGCTTCGATAATTAAGGCAACCATACAAGTAAAAACAAAAACACTATTATTATTAGGGATGCACCGATACCACTTTTTCCAGTACTCGCCCGATACCAATACTTTTATTTTTGCTACTTGCCGATACCAAGTACCGATACCGATATTTTTATTGCATTTGTAAATTTTTTAAATATTGGGTACAGAAACCAAAAGAGTATGTATAATGTTAGTTGGTTAACTTAATTTATCAAATAGATACAGTCAAACCAAAATTTAGTGAACAGTGGATGCAATTTGTTTTTCCAAGGCAGCAACGGAGTTTCTCAAGCATGTTTATTTGTTCCCGTCATTTCGGTGACAAATGTTTTAAAACATTTGTCACCGAAATGACGGGAACAAATAAACATGCTTGAGAAACTCCGTTGCTGCCTTGGAAAAACAAATTGCTTCCACTGTTCACATAATACGGAATAAGGTTATCTTTTCCTCACATCCAAAAACACACTCTTTAGAGATATTAGGCTTGTTTGACTTCATGCGGCGCCGCAAAGATCGGCTGCCGCCTGTCAAAAACAATGCATTCTGGTTACATTAAAATACTTTTGTCCAACTTTGATCGGTGCATCATTTGGATTAAAACTAAATCGAAAATATAAGACAATTTATAGGGGCCTATTTATACTATAGTTGCACCGGTAGTGATGTCATGGCTGCCGCCGGCCAACGTGTTGTTGGTGTTTTTTCAATGTATGCTTCAGATACGGGTCACGACGAGGCGTTCCCCATAGCGACCCCTAGAGGACGCAGTGTCTCGTTCCCTACTCAGGGAACCATGGTTACATACGTATCCTGAGACGTTTTAAGCTCTTTATGTAGCCGACATTGTGCTGGTTTGTATTGGCCGCCTCCAGTTATTCCTTTGTTTTGTCTCCAGCTAGCGCTGTGTCGTAATCGTGACATCAACACTAAAAGGGTCTATATGTCCCGAGGTCACTTTTTGTACAAAGAAACTGACACAAGAGGGCAGTTCGTGCAGTGTGTAGTGTAAAGCAGTTTTAAAACCTTTTTATTAACAGAAATTAGGACTGTCAATACATTAAATATTATAAATAACAAATATATAATACAATGTGTTACATTTTATAAGTTATATTTTAATAATACTGTATTCCAGGCAGTGTCAAAAAACAGTTTGAGTGTTTCACTTCTCCCTCTTCTCAGAAAACAAAAGCGAAACTGATCTCCTGCTATTACAACTGTGTGCAAGAAATGGTTAGTGTGTCAAGTGGCAAAAGTGTATTTAATCATTCTGTAATTATTCGCAGCATATCCATATGGACCATTTGTTTTTTGTTTTAGTTCTGAAAATGTGGTCTTTTTTTCTATTTTTATTTCAATATTTAAATTTTTAAGTATAATATAATGTATAGGCTATTGAGGACAGAAAATAGCCTATTAAAATTTTAATAAAAAAAAAAAAAATCAAATGCATGTACATTCTCTACAAAAACATAAATTCAAAATGAAGATATAGTGTTTACACTTTAAACTTATATATAATAGTATAATTTAGGGGCACCCATTGACTTTACCTCACCGAAAAAGTTTTAGTTATGAACAATTAAATAAAATTAAAAAGACACTAGACTCTATTTGAGGGTTAACCATAAACTTTTGCTTGTGATACTATCTGAGGGTCTTAGCTTAGATTGCTTAGTTTTGTTTTGATTATATTTGTATTTGTTAAAATACAAGTATCCACACTGCTTACAGATCTCGATCACAAAAGGACAAAAACGTTTACAAAAAGTGAAGAGAAGAAAAGAAACTCGAACTACATAGACTTAATGTGAAATCTGCCTTTTAGAAAGTCCCTCCCTCTTCTCAGGAAATAAAGTGTACTGATCTCTCTCATTTCTTCATGCATTCAACTTCATGCAAGAGATGGTGAGTAAGCGAAGAGGTATTTAATATTTATTTATATTTATAGCGTCACTGGAATCTTTTTTGTCTATATTTGTGTTACAAACACTTGTTAATCTTGCCACCGCTATATATAAAAGATCGGCTATTTGCACTTTGCTTTGTCTTTTTATTGTACTGTTTTTTTTTTTTTTTTACCGTTCCAGGAAGTGATCGGTTAGCCATATTTCTTCAAAAACGGCGCTTTAAAACTCTTGACAAGCTAAAAGACGTGAATGAAATTTGTATATATTAGAAATGAAAGATATAGATTATACTGAATGTCAGATTATTTTGCTCAAATACAAACAAAGCGATGCTGTTTGCGTATGTTGAATTGACAATGCATGGTTGTGAGAATGTGATATGGCTTATTGCGATCGCATTACAACGGTTGTGATGTAATTATATAAATATATAATTTTATAAATGTATGACACGCTGCATGTTTCGGAATATCACAGCTCTCAGTTTCGATTCACAGGAAATGCTACTCTGCATGTAGAACGTGTCAGTAGCGATTTGTTGGGTAACCCTTTATAATAACTTTAATTAATAAATCATTAACAAACATTATATAATGCTTAATGGATCATTAGTTAATATATATTCAAAGAGATAGAAACGTGAGATAATGTGCTTGTTAATGTTTGCTAATACATTAGCTAATGTAAAATCATTATTTCATGCAAGTTAAAATGCTTACAGATGTCATTAAACTTTCAATTCCATATGATCAAGCACTTATTGAAAATCAGGGGTTCAATTTGATTACTATAAAGGAACACGGTTCAATCTGTTTATATTATATTGTTTTGGTAAGTATTTTCTTTTAAAAAATGATTTGTTTTCCCGTTTATTTATGATTCAAGGAATATCCTGTTTAATGATATACAGAAGAGTAGTATACTAATGTGAGTGTTGAGGCAATAAAAACATTGTTTGCACCAAATTATTATTTAGCTAAACTTAACCAGCCACCCTTTACACAAACTTTGTTACAGCAGCTAAAGTCCAAAGCCCATAAAGATACTAAATGATCAGTAATCGTTTATAAACATTTACAAATGATGAATAGTTTGAATAATGAAAACATGAACAAATAATTAATAGATTATTTGTTAAAATGTGTAAATAGAGGTCTACACAACAAAGGAAAAAATCCAACAAATGAAGATCATATGAACTGAAAGTTTGTTTACATTAAATAAGCATATGTTAATAATTAGGTAATGTTTAGTAAGTTCATTAGTAAACATTACCAAGAACATTATCTCATATTTCTAGCTATGTGAATATATATTAACTAATGATCTGTTAAGCATTATATAATGTTTGTTTATGATTTATTAAGTAAAGTTATTATAAAGTGTTACCATTTGTTGCAACTTACATGTATCAGACATACACTGATTTATATTTTTATTCTGTGTATTTCAGAAAGACCACATTTAATACCTCGTTGCCTGCCACAGCTGTACAATATCCAGTCGAATTGGATCGCTGCTGATATACATTTGATGCCATTTACTGTGAGCATTCAAGATTTCATATATATATAGAGTCGAACAGTTCCCAGTCTCCTGTCACGGTTCTTAGGTGAAGCCCGTATTGGATGAGCATTCACCTACATACATTCAAAATACAGTCCACAACAATATAAAAGTCTGAGTCAAAGCTGCAAAATGGCAGAATCTTCTGATGACCAAAGTCCTTTTACCTGTCCAATCTGTCTTCATCTTCTGAAGAGCCCAGTAACTACAGCTTGTGGCCACAGTTTCTGTATGGACTGTCTCAATGAGTGCTGGGATCGGGACGATCAGAAGGGCGTTTACAGCTGCCCCCAGTGCAGGCAGACGTTCAGCCCAAGACCAGCTCTCAGCAGAAGCACTGTGCTGGCAGAAGTTGTCGAGAGAATGAAGAGAGAAGCGCCAGAAACAGAAACGGCCTCTACTGTACCATCTTTTGCTGTATCTGGGGATGTGGTGTGTGATGTCTGCACAAAGACCAAAACAAAAGCCATCAAGTCCTGTCTGACATGTTTGGCTTCTTACTGTGAATCTCACATCAAAGCTCATAAATCTCCTGCGTTAAAGTGGCACAAACTGGTCAATACCTCGCCACATTTAATGGACCAGATCTGCTCTCAACATCATAAACCTCTGGAGCTGTACTGTTGCCAACATCAGCAGTTGATATGTGTGCAATGTGCTTTGATCACCCATCAGAACCACAAAATTACTTCACCTGCTTCAAAAAGAGGACAAATACAGGCAAGGAAACTGTTGTGTCTACGATATATACACTGAACAAAATTATAAACGCAACACTTTTGTTTTTGCCCCCATTTTTCATGAGCTGAACTCAAAGATCTAAGACTTTTTCTATGTACACAAAAGGTGTATTTCTCTCAAATATTGTTCACAAATCTGTCTAAATCTGTGTTAGCGGTTTGCTGATGTCAAGATACTGACTGGTTTTCGGACCCCCCCGGACCCCCAATCATTGGTAATTTTTTGCGTTCTCTCTGAAGTGTTACATTCCTGAGAAACTTTGTGTTTTCTTGTAAACTTTTGCATTCTCTTGCAAAAGTACTACGTTTCCCTTAAAAAGTTTAAAACTATATTTAGGTGGTCTTGCAAGTGAAGGCAACATTTTTCAGTGGAATGCAAAGGTTTTTGTGAGAGAACACAACAGCATTAAAATAAAAAAATGTTGTTTTCACCATTACCACCACATCCCTTTAGGTGCTCCAAAATAATAATATGTTGAAGGAATATTTCACCAAAAAATGAACTTTATATACCTAACAAGAGCATTTCTGAAGGTTTTTCACAGCTGTTTTCTGTAAAACAACTTTGGGAAAGATTCTTCTTTTATGTTCCTCAAAGTCTGAATTTGAAGTGAATAAATAATCACAATTTCAACTATTTATATAAGTGTAGTCAGATGGACTACATGCAATAAAATCATCAATACAAATAATAAAGCTCTGCATGTCACGAGAAGCAATAATTCACTATGATGTCTGTGAGGAACTTTTGATATAGACAGCAGTGGCTGCAATGAAAGTGTGATTTCCTCATCAAACAGCTCGTGGTTTGAGCTCAGATCTGCTCGAGAGTCTAATGATGACATGCTTCCTTTGAAATAATGTCAAGTTCATCAGGAACTCTCTTTTTTCTCGTTCTAGTTTTATAAAATGGCCAAAGACTGGTGGCTCTTTGGGTTTTATTTCATCGTGCCGCTGGCATGCACCGCCGTCTTTTAGCATTATTGTGGCCAGCCTAAGGCACACCTTTGCAATAATCATGCTGTCTAATCAGCATCTTGATATGCCACACCTGTGAGGTGGATGGATTATCTCGGCAAAGGAGAAGTGCTCACTAACACAGATTTAGACAGATTTGTGAACAATATTTGAAAGAAATAGGCCTTTTGTGTACATAGAAAAAGCCTTAGATCTTTGAGTTCAGCTCATGAAAAATGGGGCAAAAACAAAAGTGTTGTGTTTATAATTTTGTTCAGTGTATATATCCTATAGTCTGTGAGTGTAGTGTCTGGAGCTGAGACTACCTAACACCCTGCCAAAACAAGATTTTTAAGCTATAGCCTGTATGATTTGTAAGGAAAACACTTGTCTGGTTGAGAAATTTGCTATTTGACCATTTAAAAATTTGTCTTTACAGATTGTTATGCGAGAAATGTTTATTTACTACAATTAATGTTGACGTTCATTGCTTGGTAACAACTTACATCACAGTGAAATAATTGTTACAGAAGCATCATACTAAACTATTATAAATTGCCTCACAGGAACAGATGGGGTCAAATCAGAATGTCCTAGAAAAAGAAATGCAGACGCGAGCGCAGAAGGTGCAGGAGTTAAGAAAAGCTGTGGCCTGTTTTAAGGTAAGTGCCCCATATGTTATTGTCTGGGGAGTTGGATTCCTAAATCTGTGTGCTGCTTAACAAGAGTTTTTCCTGCCATCTCACAGCACTCTTCACAGACCGCAGTGGAACATAGCGAGAAGATGTTTACTGAGCTGATCCGTTCCATGGAGAAAAGACGAGCTGGGATAACAGAGGTGATCAGAGCAAAGGAGAAAGCAGAAGTAAGCAATGTTGAAGAGCTCATACGAACACTGGAGCAGGAGATCAGTGATCTGAGGATAAGACATGATGAACTGGGGCAGCTTTCACAGATAAAGGATGACATCTATGTCATTCAGGTAACAGAACGGACCACTCCTCCCTTCTATCGCTTCTTACTCCACCATATGTTCATGCACCAAGTGCTCAGGACATGCATATGCACACACATTTACAAAAAGATCTAATGCAACATCTAGTGATAATGTATAATGAGAGGGTTTTTTTAATTCATTTTGATCTCTGCAACAAAAGATGTAGAGTAAAATGTTTTCTCGCTGCTATTTCTATCTGCAGAATTTCTCTGCTCTTTCCCTCAAACAATTTTCAAACTTGAACAACATATCCATCAGCCAACATCTGAATTTTAAGGAAATTGAAACAGTTGTCAGTTTGCTGAAAAGCCAACTAGATGATCTCTGTGTTCAAGACATTGTGAGAATATCAGAGAAAGGTGAGATGACATCCTTTTTTTTTAATGGTTTCATTCATCATATTGAGTGAGATTATGTATTTATACAATATTTTCACATCTTCTAAAGAGCACTATGCCTAAGCAGGTTGCATGATTTCAGGTCTCATCATCATAGCACAAACTGCATGGGAACAGTTATTGGCCGAAGTGTGGAGCAATAAAAGTTATGAGCAATAATAAAAATGATGCTTCCTTCAGAAAGCATAAATAAATGTTGTAGTAGCAGTAGTAGTATCATTATTGTGTAGTTGTTGCAATAGTAGAAAAATGTATTCTGATCTACTGTATAATAGGTACAGTGGGTACGGAAAGTATTCAGACCCCCTTAAATTTTTCACTCTTTGTTATATTGCAGCCATTTGCTAAAATCATTTAAGTTAATTTTTTTTCCTCATTAATGTACACACAAATACTGAGCATTTTTCAGTTTTTCTTTTTTAATAAATCTGCAAAGATGTCAACAATTCTGTGTTTTTCTGTCAATATGGGGTGCTGTGTGTACATTAATGAGGAAAAAAAATTAACTTAAATGATTTTAGCAAATGGCTGCAATATAACAAAGAGTGAAAAATTTAAGGGGGTCTGAATACTTTCCGTACCCACTGTATATTTAATGTGAAAAGAATACTACATCAATAAATTATTATTATGTAGACAGAACCTTTTGTTGGATTGATTTGTCAAATCACCATTTTCAATTTGTCTTTAAAAAAGAAATAAGTTTAGAAAGTCTAAACATTTTCTAAAAAATTATTGATAATAACGTCAAAGCCAAAGAAGGATACCCATAATTTCTCACCACTGTTTATACATCTGCCAAAAAATAAATAGATCTTATTGTCATAATCATGGTAAACAAATATTTTATCCTGTTTTCCTAAAAGTTCCCACTATCCATATAATGACGAACAATGAGAAGATCGCAAAGTGTAAGTCAGCATGTTTTTTCTCTCTTTTTTTTTTTCAAAACAACACTCAGATACACACACTTATATACTGTTTATACTGTTTTTATTTTAGATTTGCCATCTCGACCCATGTCCAGAGAAGAGTTCCTTATATGTGAGTCGTGCTCTGTATCTTTGCATTATTTGTCACATATATTTTGACATGTTGCAAAGAATAAAGGCAGATAGGATGGGAATAGAGAATACACACCCTAGAGAAGATTTTATTAAACAATAATACACACAAAGGCAGCATAAAAGGTGTAAGACCAATCCTGTTCCTGGAGATCTACTGTCCTGCAAAGTTCAGCTCCAACCCTGATCAAACACACCTGAACCAGCTAATTAAGATCTTCAGTAGCACTTTATATTTACAGGCAGCTTTATTGGAGCAGGGCTGGACCTGAAGTCTCCAGGTACAGTAGGTAGATTTCCAGGAACAGGGTTGGGCACCTCTGGTGATAGACATTCAAGTTGGGGCTGTCAAATAACAGCAGTGTGAAATAAAGTCCATACTGAAGTTCATAATTAATTTCCTTTTCTGTTTAACAGATTCCACTGATCTGAAACTGGATTCATCTTATGCCTGCAAACAGCTCTGTATAAACCGCATGTCTGTGTCAAGGAGGAGTGATGTTCAACCACGCTCTGCTAGCCAAAGCTACTATGGGAACAATCCAGCTTTGGAAATCAGAAACAGTACTTACCAGGTGTTGTGCAAAGAAAGTTTATCTGGACGCTGTTATTTTGAAGTTAAGTTGGGAGGAGCAGGTTGCTCTATTGCATTCTCATATGATGCTCTTAGTCAAGGAGGGGCAGGTTTTATCTTTGGCTCTAACAACAGATCCTGGAAATGTGATTTTCCAACTGCTAATGTTTGTGTGTGGCAAAGTAACCAACAGACTAATATTCCTGTGGTCTTTAAAATTGGAGTGTTTCTTGATCAAGATGCAGGAACTGTGTCCTTCTACAATGTCTCTGATAAAATGACCCTCCTGCACAGAATCCAGACCACATTCACTGCGCCCCTCTACCCTGGGTTTTCATTTCAGAATTGGGAAAATAACTCATCAGTGACAATTTGTGATCTTAAAAAGAAATAATCATGTAAATCCAAGGTTTTATCCCCCTTGACTGTCATTTCACCCCCCTAAAACTATAATTGCATATCATTTTATTTTATTTTAATTTTTTTATTTTTGGCAAGAGTTGTCAAAATGCGTGTCCTGACAACTATCCACACAAACACAGTCTGTCTTAAGTGAAGGTAAACAACTAGAAAATATCGGAAATGTGTCAATATAACAGATCCATGCTTGAGATCTAAAGTGACAGCATTTGTTAATAATGTTAATCAAACAACAAAAGAAAAAGAGAGAATCACTCACTGCTCTTAATTAAATAATTGCTGTAGCTTTATTAGGTATCTGTGTGTATTTACTGCATACAGTAATACAGTTTTCACAAGCACTGTAAAGTACGGTTTAATTTGTATCTTTGTTCTGTTGTATTTGTGCTATTGCTTGTAGTTTGTTTATTTGTTCTTATTTTATTATTGACTGTTTACTTGTCTTTAATGTTTGAACATTATATTAGCTAGGCTAGTATTAATTTTTGCTGTGATCATAAATTGGATTTGAAAATTGTGAAATTTCACTCTAGTATCTGAAATGTTGGTATCATGAAGTTATATAGGTCAAAAACAACAGAAGCAGCAACTTTATTTGTTTGGGGGGGTACACTGTGTAAACAGGACACAAGTAATGCTTTATATTACTTGACATAAAGCAAGTAAATACCTAATGCTATGTTGTGGCAATTTTCTATTTCAATAAAGGTATGAGACAAAAGTTTTTTGAATATTTATTTTCTTGCAAGAAAAGTTAAACAGTCATACAGTCATCGACCCTGTATAACACTCTGACTTACATCTTTTTATATCCTAATCAAACCAGGATGCTTCTATGCTTCTGTCTCAAACATTCATAATGCATATTCAACATATGTATTCATTTAAGGTATCCAACCATGTCCCCTAGATGTGTTTCTAAGCATTTAATGCAACTTATTTTCTTAGAAGCTAGGTATAAAATAGCATTTCTCGTCTCACACTTGTCTTGCACACACACACACACACATTAAATCTCATTAGATCTCTCAGCTCATCGAAAACTTAAGCACTCAGAGACAGTAAATAAGAACACTCTTTAGTACAGTGAAGCAAATAATATTTCTTCCATAATTCTACATTTCTTTCACAGTTCCCCCCTTTTTATTATTGATAACTATAAAAACAGACATTTTCATACACATCTTCTAAATTTTTCGCTCACTATGTTCTTCCTAGTGAATTTTCACTCAAGTTTTACAGTTTATAGTCGCTAAGCTTGTTTTTCTGAGACATAGACGTCACTTAATTCTATAGCAAACTGGTTACTGGAAAATAAAAGTATTGAGAAAAATACATTTATTTTTTGCAAACAAAAATTAAGAAATGCAAAAGAAAATGAAGTATTGCGTGAAAAAAGTTTTGCAAACAAAAATAAAGAATTGCAAAATATAAATAAAACAGCAAAAGATATGATTTCAGAACACATTTTCTATGGCGTTTTATTGTCTTTAACCACAGCTGTCGTAGTTTTTTTGTCTGGCAATGGCAGCAGGTATGCAATAAAATTTCAAATTGGAGCCAATACTCCATTGATTCTGACACTCAACAACACAAGAAGATGGCATTTTAAGCTCCTTATGCAGCCGACTCTGTGCTGGTTTGTACTGGCCGCCTCCAGTTATTCCTTTGTTTTGCCTCCAGCTAGCGCTGTGACATAATTGTGATGAACACTAAAAGGGTTTGTACACTACATCGCTGGGACCCATCATAATTTAGGCACATGGCTTCTCCTACCATTGCTATGCTGATGACATGCAGCTCTACCTCTCATTTCAACCAGATGATCCAACAGTACCTGCCCGGATCTCAGACTGCCTGACAGACATCTCAGCATGGATGAAAGAACATCACCTGCAGCTCAACCTGGCAAAGATAGAGCTTCTCATCTTCCCAGCCACCCTATCAGTACAGCGCCAGTTTACCATCCAACTAGGTTCATCAACGACAATCCCATCCTGTGATCCTCCATCACACCATAAGATGGCAATGAACGATGATGAGCAGCTGAACTTTAAAGATCATATTGCAAAAAAGCAGCACGATCATGCAGGTTCATGCACTACACAACATCAGGAAGATCAAACCCTTCCTAACAGAGCATGCAACACAGCTTCTCGTCCAGGCTCATGTCATTTCTAGGCTGGACTATTACAATGCTCTTCTGGCTGGACTTCCAACATGTGCAATCAGCCCTCTGCAAATGATTCAGAATGCTAAAGAGTCCTGAGCACTTATGCACCGATTGCCAACAAAACAGAAATGTGATCCAGTTTTACTGGCTCAGAAATACTCCATCATACATCCAAATCGTTTGTTAAAACTTTGGCCATGTTTAGCATGAGAATCCAAATCTTTAACAGTGTAAATAACTCCGAATGCATGAAATAGCATTAGACCCCCCCCCCTTTAATTTCATGTGTGTTATAAATGTGGGTTATTTCATGTACATGTGCAGCAGCAGTAGTTCTTAAATACTCACAGCAGCATGCCTGTGGATGTATTGGCAGTAGCAAGTCTTGGTACTACTTGGTACTATGCAGCAGCGTAGCAGAACAATTCCATGGCAGAGTCTTTGATAAAGAATATCTCTTTGGTTTTGAGACTTTAGTCTTTGCAACTTCAGGGATCTTATCTATGCACAATCAGCTTGTAACACTCCAAAGAGAAAGGAAAACTTGAAATCGCATCATATGACCCCTTTAATTTTTGTTTAAATGAAGAAAGAATCTAATGAAACTAATGAAGAAAGAAACTTCTTCAGAAACGCCAGCAGTCCTACACGGAAGCAGCTCCGGGAGGATGACGTATGAGTTCAGCGTTGCGCATGCGCCGGTGAGTCTCGTGAAAACCAACGTTTGTTAACAGGAGCAAAGGAAGCAAAGTTTCCTTACTTTAGCAAAGGAAAACCAGTCTCCTCTTGGCTTATATCCAAATCCTCTGACATTCTTCTTTACAAATCCTTGTTTTGTATTTCTAATTAGTGACCGTTGTTTTGTTTTGATTTCTCCGCTGCGCTTCCGCGTGTGTTACTTCTGAGTGGCGCACGTGCAAAGCCGACCTCATACTTAATCCGCCCGGAGCTGCTTCCGTGTAGGACTGTTGGCGCAACCTAGATTCAAGAGATTATTACTTTTTGAATATGGATATTTTACTTACAAAAAATGCATCGATTCGCTACAGGAGGCCTTTGTTCACCCCCCGGAGCCATGTAAGACATTTTTTATGGATGGGCGCTTTTTATTTCACTTCTTTTGGACTGAAGCACTGCAACACCAACTGAGTGCAATAATAGAGCTTGGAATAGCCAGGACAATTTTATTATAACTTCGACTGGATTCGTCTGAAAGAAGAAAGTCATATACACCTAGGATGCCTCTGGGGTGAGTAAAACACAGCCTAATTTTTGGGTGAACTTAACCATTTAAGATTGCGTGGTGCTGTTCAAAGAAGAGTGAGAGCTGTTGTCACTGATGAAATAAGAGCCACCATCATAGACCATGTGATAAACCATGGTCTGTCACTGAGAGAGGCAGGTGAAAAAGTACAGCCTAATCTCAGATGGTCAACTGTGGCTTCCATTATCAGAATTTTTCAACAAACCAACAGGTAAGTAATGCACTTCATGAGGGCGATAATTGCAGTTGCTACTTACCACAATAACTGCTGGTCACCGGCAGCTACAAAATCAAATATCTAACATTTTTGTTCTTCTAAAGGACACAACGACTTACTTGCTCTGGGGGGAGAAGAAAGCTTCTTACTGTAATGAAGACCAAGAGCATGCTATTGTAAGATGGGTCATTGCTGACAATGCGAAAAAAAGAAATTCAGGCCAAAATTCTACAGGACAACCTGCTATTCCAGAATGTTGAAAGCATCAGCCTGGCTACCATCGCTTGAACTCTGAACAAACACAGAATTCGAATGAAACAGCTGTACACACTTATCTTTGAAAGAAACAGTGAGCAGGTCAAGGAAATATGTCCAGGTATGGTATCTATACACTATATCTGATTCTAGAGTGACTCTTACACTATTCTACTTTTTTTTCACTATTGTCTATTGCCACACAAGTAAACATACTCACATAGTGAAAAGCATTTACAGTAAACATCATGTGTTTGGCTTCTTTCAGAGAGTTATGGAGTTGGAGGCTAATCAGGCACCACATGAATTCATTTATGTAGATTAGGCAGGATTTAACATGGCAAAAACTCGTAGATGAGGAAGAAACATAATTGGGAAAAGGGCCACCACTGATGTGCCGGGTCAGAGAGGAGCAAATATCACAATGTGTGCTGCAATCGCAAGTGCTGGTCTGGTCCTGCAAAAAATCCAGATTGGTCCCTACAACACAGAGTGCATTCTTTTGTTTTTAGATGACCTTCACAAACAACTGGTGCCAGAAGCAGAAAGGGAACAAGTGGGAGGAAACATGAGGACATTTGTGATTGTATGGGACAACTTTGCGTTCCACCATTCACATGTAATCACAAATTGGTTTGCAGCCCATCCGAGAATGATTTCCCTTTTTCTTCCTCCATACTCTCCTTCCCTCAACCCCATTGAGGATTTTTTTCTGGCTGGAGGTGGAAAGTCTATGATCATCGACCACATGATCAAATGTCCCTCCTGGAGGCAATGGATTCTGGCTGCAGAGACATCTCCGCTGAAGACTGCCAGGGGTGGATAAGGCATGCTAAGCGTTTCTATCCAAGGTGCATAGCAGGAGACAAAATAAGGTGTGATGTCGATGAGAATATGTGGCCAAATGCTCAAGATCGTATAAATTAGAACTGTATTTTTCTGTGCCTTTCTTGTGTCACTTTCTGCAACTTGTCTGCAATTTGTATTTTTTTTTTTTAACCAGATGGCTGTCTGTGTGTGTGTGTGTGTGTTTAAAGTACTGATGACTCCTTTACAATGTTGTACGCATACTATCTATAACGAATCCACACATTCACACACAAACAAATGTAGAGTGAATTTGCAGCTGACTGAATTATTACAGTTTTTTTCGTTTTTCTTTTACAGTAAATGGATTTCATATTTGATGTTCTATACAGGTCGAACTGAAACATGACAATGCAGTTTTTGTAATGCCATTAATTGTTAGCATTTTGACAGTCTATGCACAAGGATTTACTATATTTTCATGTTGGATAGAAAGTTAGTGCTAGTGTTTTGACAGACTGATTCAATTTTAAATCGGGTTTGCTGGGTTTTGATAGAGTTAGTATATGTAGAAAACTGTATTTAGCATTTTGAAATGTAGGGTTTGTATTTATTTAACAAAATGTGGTTTTGGCCAGAAAATTAACTATTTGGCTAATTGTGTGATGTAGGTGTGTTGCTGTGTTAAGAGTTTAGAAAAGGTACTTTAAGTATTTGTAAACGCTTGATAGCAATTGAAAAAAAAACCTGTAAAGGTGAAGTACAACACTACATCCCTCTCTTTGTTTTACAATAATAATAATAATAATAACCGATAAAAATGTTAATCAAGACAAACTTCAGGTTGGCTTGAGAAAGCCTAGCCTGAAAGTTTGAAGTAGTTGTAAAAACTTTTGAAACAGTTTGAAAGTTTAGATAGATAGATAGATTGTCAGAGGACAGATAGCGAGTTCCCCCTTTTCTATTTCATATCTATCTATTTAAG